GCTGGGTGGGGGGAGGGGGAGATGAGCCAGCCGGCGCCAGGGGGAGGCATCCGCATCCGAGTCTTTTCCAAAGAGCCCTTGGGAAAGAATATTCTCTGACGGCTTTGTGTGGAGCGATGCCAGGAGGTAGACGGACGGGCAGGACTCCTGAGATGCCCGGGTTCAGTCCAGAGTGGGGAACGAGGGTAGGGAGGGCGCACGTGTTCCTCGGCAGAAGCCGGTCTGGCCGCCCGGTAAGGTAGGGGCTGCCCTGCCTCTCCGGCTGGGGTCTGGGGATCAGGGCGACCGCCCTCTTCTGACCCGACCGGCCCCTTCGCGGCCTAGAGTAAGTCTCTCCATGGCCCCGAGGGGCGGATCCCCCAGCGTCCCCTCCTCCACCCAGGGTACCCCAAGCCCCCCGGTGTATCCTTGATTTAGGACACTGTGGTTCCAGGCAGGGATAGGGGTGTGGGTGAACCGCAGCTTGGGTCCCAGTGTACAGGGGAGGACGGGGGGTGGGGGGAGTATTACCATCCCTCCTCACACCTCACTTGTCCAGCTGGTGGCCGGCAGGGTCTGCCTTGGCGCATCCACAGTGTCCACAATATGGAGGCCATGGCAGAAGGATTTCCACTCATGGCAAGGGTACATCCCTATTTGGAAAGCAGGATAAACTGGGACTACATAGCTCCAGAGGAGGACCCTGGATCAGGTGCCCTGCAACTCTCCCCAGCCAGTGGGTTCCTTGGAAGCTAAAAACATTCTGGACCCAGTGCCACCCTTCTCCAAATGAACCCATTTAGTCAGGGCTCAGACCTCTGGCAAGGAGGGACCTCTACCTGAAACCATCCTCCGTGTGTTGCCCCAGCTGGAGGCCAGATACAGGCAAGGCCTCAGGACAAGCCCGCCCACCACACACATAACACAGAGCAGGGTACGGGTGGGCAATGAGGACGACGCGGGCTCAGGGGCAGGGTGGGGAGTCTCAAAGGGCCCCTCCCCAGGTGAAAACACAGCACCCTCACACAAGTGCTTTATTGACTACAATGGCAGATTGACATGTACATAAAACACTGTGACAGAGGTGACAGCCTCAGGCCACGGGCAGCTACGAGTACCCTCCATAATGTTTTATGATCTCCGAAATTGTTTGGGAAATCATCAGTGATCCAGTGACAAAAAAATGATGAACGTGAAGGTCAGAAGGAGACCCAAGACCAGGGCCCAGATGTTCAGGCGCTTGGCGGTGGAGGCATAAGTCTGGGCCCCAGTTATGTCACCCACCATCTTCCAGTCCCTAGACTGGGGAGAAGAGATGGAGTGTGTGATCAGGCCCAGGTCCTGGTGAGAGCCAGGGACTCAGGTGGCCCCCTGGCTGGTCCCTGCCCAGGGCAGTCTCCACCTGCCCTTCACCCTCCCCATTCCCTGGAGCCTGAGCAGGACCGTGCCCCGTGGACCCTTCCCTCCCGGGGCCTGCATCTCCTTCCTCAGCCTCTCAGGAGACCCCAGGCCTTGTCCTCCCTCTGCTTTGGCCCCTTCCCTGGCCTCACACCCCACCGGGAGGCAGTTTCCTGTGAGTTCCTTTGTTCTTTCTGGGAGAGCCTGGGAGCCACACGTGCATCTGAGGGATGTAATTTCTAGTATTGGTCAGCAGGGGAAGTCCTTGCAATCTTGGGGACAAAGGCTGCTCATGGCCAGCCCCAGGCCCCTCCTG